CACCTCCAGCTCTAGTGCCTCCAGCTCCAGCGCCTCCAGCACCAGTGCCTCTAGCTCCAGGGTCTCCAGCTCCAGTGCCTCCACCGCCAGGGTCTCTAGCTCCAGCGCCTACAACACCACCAGCCACGGCAGCTCCAGTACCACTAGTATGAGCACCTCCAGGACCAGCAGCTCCAGCACCTCCAGCTCTAGTGCCTCCAGCGGCAGATCCTCCAGCTCCTGCAACGCCATTCCTAACGCGTGTGCGCTGAGCAAACCACTTGCGCAGCTGCTGCGGTGAGAGAGGCTCCCGCCAGTGAGACAGTCGTGGCGAGGCACCCGCAGGACCTCCGGCAGACGCAATACCCCTAGGCTCAGCACCCCCAAACTCCACACCCTCAGGCTCAACACCCCCAGGCTCTGCACTCGCAGGCTCAGCACCCCCAGACGCAGCACCCCCAGACGCGGCATCTCAAGCAGCACCTGAGTCTACAGCGCCCTCGACAGGCACGGCTAGGGGGAGTGGGTCTACATGAGACACACTTGAGGGAGCAGGTCCCTGAGGGGGGAGGGGGTCTACCAGAGGGGGACCTGGAGCAAGGAAGAGCGGCGGGGTCGGGAGAGGGGCAGAGTGGTAGGGGAAGAGACGGTAAAAGGGAACCGACTCGTCAAACGTGACGTCCTGAGAGGGGAAGACACGGCGCGAGGTGGGGTGGTAAAACTGCCAGCCAGGCACGTCAGGGGGGTAAGCCAGGGAAGACGCGGGGAATAGCACGGGCGGAGAGCTTGTATGCGGACGTATCGCGAAAAAAGGCACGGGAGCCCCAGACCCGAAACACCGACGCATCGCCAACCTTCCCCGTCCAACGCAGTGTAGGTGAGGTCACCAGCAAGGAGACACAGGGCCAGAGGTTGAGCTGATGCGCAGCGTACTAGACCGCAAACAGCCACAGAAAATGGGGAGCAGCCGCATGGATCATGGAGGTACGATCCACCTCCATGACTAAGCCAGTGCGGCACTCAGCAACACCATTTTGCTGCGGGGAGGCCGGAAGCGTGAACGAATGGAGGATGCCCTCCCCACGACAAAATTCCCGCAAGAGGTCGGAGGAGAACTCACCACCTCTGTCAAAGTGCAGACGCAGGACACGAAGGTCCTCGCGGAACCGCTCGCGGAGCTGGAGACGGACTGCGCGGATCAAAGGGATCAAGACACCAGGGACCTTACCCTTGTTGCGCAAGGGGAAGACCGTGGTGAAACGCGTGTAGTCATCAACAACCAGTAGGAAGTAGCGCTCGCGGTCCTATCCACTGACGCGGGCTGGGCCCCACACGTCCATGTGGAGAGTCTGCAGGGGAGCAGTTGTCGGGGGAAACGAGGAGGAGTGAGGAGCGGCGCGCTACCGCCCCTTAACGCAAGGAAGGCATGGCGGGGCAGGCGAGGGCGGGAGGGGAGGCAGAGACCTGGGAATACCAGAAACAAGGAGGCGGGAGTGCATGCCACGAAGGCGTGGCAGGGAGGGGTGACCTAGGCGGTGGTGCCAAAGGAGAGTCTGGTGCGACAGGAGGCGACACGAGCAGGGGGCTGCTACCGGACCTGACGCGGACACTTGAGCAAACACAGCTACCTAAGGAGACTCAGCAGTCAGTGTGTACAGACTCGACCCAGGCCGACGGGTGAACGTGGCCAGGTGACGGCCCGTCTGTGTACACGTGCAGATCGACACACGCTGACCCCCAGAAGTGGTGGTGGTGACCATCGCATCCTGGAGGGCAGCGATACTCACCAATTTCATAGAGAACGAGGGGAGGTGAAGACCTGAGAGTGAGTCGGACAGAACCGCCGGACACGGGAGAACAGTGGAGGAACGGGCAAGAACTGGGCCCCCTGAGGGGTTTGTCAGTCTAACTGGAACAGGTGCAGGGAGTGGAGTGAGGGTGGTACTGTCGCGAAAGAAACAGCTGGACGCACCTGAGTCAAGTGTGATAGTGTGCAAGGCCTCAGGGGGCGCAGTACAAGGGAGAGAAGACTCACTAGCACCTAGAGCAACAACTTCTATACCTGGGTCGGGCAGCACACACAGGTAACAGTCACCCTCAGCACTAACAGACGAGGCATACATGGCAGCAAGGATTGCATCATAGTCAAGAGCAACGATATCAAATCCAGACCTAAGCAGCTCTAGCTAGCCAGCGGGGGCGCTCAGCATCGTCTCCAAACTCTGCACACCAAGCGTCGTCAAGGCGGGAGAAGCAGCGTTGCTGAGTGTGAAACTTCCCGCATGTCTGACTAGCATAGTCACCAATGCGAATGACATACGGGCGGCGAACACTACCCTCAGACGCCCCACGCTGAGCAAACCACTCACGAAGCTGCTGGGGCGTAGGGGTCTTGCTCCGACGCTGCTGCTGCTGCCTTTGGCCACCGCTAGAACCTCCCCGCTGAACAGGTCCACCCCGTCCGCCACCACTGCCGCCGCCACCACTCCCACTGCCGCCACCACTGCCACCCCCACCCCCACCGCCGCCACCACTTCCGCAACCGAAGCCCCCACTCCTGCCACCACTCCCACCGCTGCCACCACCTCCGCCACCTCCACCGCCTCCACTGCCTTCACCACCACCACCCCCGCTGCCACCGCCACCACTATTGCCACCCTTGCCCTTGCTGCTGCGGCGCTTTCCACAAAGAGAAGAAGCAGCCCCGACATCCTCAGCACCAAGGATGTCAACAACAGCAGCAGAAGCGTAGGAGGGGAGGGGCAACACCCCTCAAAGAAGGGTGTGCGAGGAGTGCCACGAACAGCACCTACAATGACTACGCTAGTCTCAGCTGTAAGGAGGTGCTTCTCGAGCAGGTCGACAGTGAGGTCTGTGGGTTCAAGTGCGAGAAAGTGGTCCCTGACAGCACGAAGAGAGTCAGGGAGGCGGGTGACTATGAAGTAGAGAGTGATGTACATCGGGGGCGGGTTCCTGTCTAGGAACTCGGCTAGGAGGGCAGCGTGGTAACGAGTGTCGCTAGTGCGAAGGTGGGTAACGAGGTCCTCGACTGTGCCAAAGGCTAACAGCTTGGGAAACAGGTAGGGCAGTATAAGGCGGCCGAGAGCAGCAGTGGCAGGGGAAGAGTAACGAGCGACTACAGCGTTGTACATGGCTTTAGCAGTTTTGTGCTGGCCAAAGTGAGCGCGTTCGGCTAACGGCAGGTGGTTGCGAACGGGTATGCGAGCAGCAGCGTCATGGGTAAGCCACTGTGAGCGAGTCGCACTGTCAGCTGTGGCGGGAGGGGCGAGAGAGGCTCCAGACGTGTGGTCAAACAACGAAATGCTGTCTCTAGAATCGCTCAGTAGGTACAGCTGTAAGTCGTTTAGCCACGTATCGAACTGGATCGGACGGCCCTCATGATCGAAGGTGAGAACACTGAGAGAAGCCATAGCGTGCAGAGCAGGGTGGGGCGCGACCAGCAGGGCACCACGCAGGCAGGGCGGCGCTCGAGCTCTAGGGAAGCGCGCAGGGCAGGGATATGCGGCGCATGGCTAGGGAAGAGTGGCGCGCGGCCAGGGTAGGGCAGGGTGGCGGCCAGCAAGGCGGCGCGTGGGCAGGGCAGGGCGGTGCGGCTGCCAACAGGGCGGCGCGCAGGCAGCAGGGCGGCACGCGGGTAGCAGGGCGTCGGCCAGCAGGGTGGCGTGCGGTCAGGGCGGTGCAGGCAGCGGCGCGGCTGCCAGTAGGGCGGTGCACGGGCAGCAGGGCGGCGCGCAGCAGGGCGGTTCGGGCAGCAGGGCGGCTCAGCGCGGGCAGGGCATGGCGACGCGCAGGCGGGGCATGGTGACGCGCAGGCAGGGCAGGGTTGTGCGGCTGCCAGCAATGCGGCGCGCGGGCAGCAGGGCGACGTGACGGCCAGCAGGGCGACGCGACTGACAGGGCAGGGCGACGCGATAGCCATCAGGGCGGCGCGACAGGCAGGGCAGGGCGACGCGACAGGCAGGGTAGGGCGACGCGACTAGTGGGGCAGCGCTATGTGGTGGGCCCTAAAAAAAAACGGTCCTAGAACAGGACCTGCTCTGATACCATGTCAGAATACTGAACGAGAATTAATGCATTGAACAAAAAGTTGGTACAAGTAGTAATACTAATTGGGTTGTACCCCGTATGGGCTACCCCACTACAGCCTACACATTGTAAGCATTATAACATTTTTACATGTCCCTCTCTCTGGGCAACAAAGAAGGGACGTGGTGCATAGGGGAACCATGACTTGGCCAACTACGGGCATTGCGCAATCAAGATGATGCGCGGTTCGCAAAAAATGATGGGATAACCCACTGTAATGCCTCGTTGGTCGACGCGTTTTAGTCGTGATTTGAGGTCTGTGGTGCTCCAAGCGAGGGATTTGGACGAGCAAAATAATTTTCCCCCACCCCTCCAGAAACGAACGGTACACCGTAAATCACATAACAGTACTAGATTATTAAGTGTACCCGAGACTTTTACGATTCGTGCCACCTTAATGTTCACCCTACCGTGTTTTCCTCTATTTTAGGAAAGTCCCCGGGTCTTATATCCGGGAGATTACGGCAAATCAAGTTAATAAATCCAAACCAAGCCCAGCAATGGGAATAACATAATGATTGTAATTTATTGGTTATTTTATGTGGTTTAACAAGCAAACTATACAGCGGACCAGTATTGCCCCGATCTCCTTGTCAGATGTGCTGAGACGTTTAGGGTTCAGCAGTTCAGGATTGGAGGGAAGCTAGCGTTTCCGCCTCGTCCGTTCGTCTACCGCCCCTTAATCTCCCCTAATTTCGATCTGCGCAGTTGCCGTCGTTAGCGTCACTTGTTTGCAATCTCATCGACGAGTCACCGCTGATTTGGAAGCTTCTATTGCGGAAGGATGAAGCTCGTCAGGTAGGTTTCACCCATTCATAATAATGGCTGTTGAGTTATTCCAAATCGTACGTTTCCAAGGCGTCAGCTTGCTGTTTTCTGACAGCGTGGTGGCTCCTGAACTGTGCAGGTTTCTCATGAAGCTAAACAATGAGACGGTGTCTATAGAGCTGAAGAATGGCACGATTGTACACGGGACCATTCTCGGTAAGGCTCTTACAATCACATCTTGCCTTCCCATCCCGCTGTCGTCTCCTTCATTGCTGAACTTAATTAGTTACGAACTTTTCCCAGACCAGCCAATTTATCGGTTCTTTTACAAAAAAAAGGATCGAGCCCCTCATCGCTTCGCCGTGTAATAATCGATTCCTTGTCTAAAACTCCCCTTATCTTCCCGGATTTTCCTTCTTGCGCTCTGCCGGTTTTTTCCGCTCTTTCCGTTGGCGGATCTTCGTGAACCCGCAAATAGTCGTCTTCTAAGATGCTGGCAGCTTGACGATTGACAATTGTACGTTGTTGCAGAGGTAACAGGATATTCTCATCACGCAGCTCATTTCTGTCTTCTCATTTTTACTTCAATCTTTCCCCGTTTCGCTGTTGTGTCTCCCTCCCCTCCCTTTCCCCCCACGCCCGTTCGGCGTGTCCACTCTCTCTTCCATCCCCCCCTTCCCCTCCCCTCCCCGCCACTCCCCTCCTCGCCCCCCTCAACCCCCACTGCCGAAACACTCCAGGAGTGGACATAAGCATGAACACTCACCTTAAAACAGTGAAGCTTACAGTCAAGGGCAAGAACCCAGTAGCCCTGGACCATTTGAGTGTACGGGGACACACAATTCGGTATTTCATCCTGCCCGACAGCTTGAATCTTGACACGCTATTGGTGGATGATGCGCCCCGACGAAAGGCAAAGAAACAACCAGCAGGTATGTGCAGCCATGGTTGTGGGCATTGTTCTTTTATGAAGTTTGTGATGCTGTGTGATGAGGCACAAACAACCAATCGGATTTCATTGCTTTATGATTGCTTTTGCAGGGCGGGGTGGAGCTCTGGGAAGAGGCAGGGGACGAGGAAGGGGCAGGGGTCGCGGTCGTGGCCGTGGCTGATATCCCTTTGGCATGCAGTCTTAAAAAATATAACAGTCAATCTAAACATGTTAGTGTACACATTCATCTCTCGTCATAGGTGGGACGGTTGTAATGATAGACTCAGCTTAGTGGTGCTGAAAATGTTATTTGTCTAAACGTAAGGCTAATTTGTGTGTGCTGTACACGATATTAGCATTGTCCAAGCAAGTGCCTCGACACTCCCTAGACTCCACAGAAGTTGTCCCAGCCAAAGTTGCTACTTTTCCTCGCTCGCATCGCCTGCTTCGCATAAAAGCTGGAAACGAACTCACAGCACTGCACACTGCACATGCCCTGAAATCTCCCTCACACTGTCGTTTGCCGCCGCCTCACACTAGTCTGCCATTCCCCTTCTCTCACGGTTGTCAACTCCCTCCCTCCCCCTCCCGCGCGTCACGAATCCCTCCCGACGGTCTGCATGACCTCGCCTCTCGAACCACAGATGGCCCAGTTTCCCGTCTCGCATTGCGCAGGCTTGAATGTAGGGTTTGCTGGGAGCTTCGTGCTTCGGCTTACCGCATTTTTAGAGTTCCTCGAGATCCGTAGCTGGGTCAGTTATCGGGTTGAGCCGACTTGTAGGCAGATCCGGCCAGTTTTGCCATTTTTTTGGCCGACTGGTAACGAATTTTGGTTCAGGACCCAACCTGACGGAGTCTATTCCGTTCCGTCAGCAGCTGAATCCGTCCGGCCACCCTGACCGAATCTCGTAGGTGCTCTTCCCACATTCCGGGCTCTCCGCAGTTCTTCCCGCGTTACAAGAGCCAAACCAGCTACTGTCACGCTTTCCGTTTTCCCGAGCACCCGTCAACTCGTCAGTTCTACTTAAGAGCACCGCTTTTGCCGTAATTTTAGGGTTTCCTTCCGGAATTCATCGTCGCTGGTTATGTCAAGTTAGAATCTCGTATAGCTAGCCTCCATAGCTCGTTTAGCGCCGCATCGCTGTTGTGACCGCGTTCGCCGCAAGTTCGTCTCTGTCCGCGTCGCTCCACGCGTCATTGCACCCTCTGGGTGTTTCTTTCGTGTTCCCTTCACAATCCCTTCATCCTGCTAGCCCTGTGCTTCTATCGAAAGCTCTTTTTGGATTCTTTCATTGTTGCTCCGATATTACTGCCAGCGGTTACGGAATTTCGGACATTTGAGTCGCTCCAGCTGTAGTTTAGGGTTGCGACGTTGTTTTCTTCGTGTTACCGTTGCTTCGTTCTTGTTACCGTTTGTTTCCATCATTCTATCGTTAATTCCTTAATGTCACCGTTGATTCCTTCATGTTACCGTTCATTCCTTCATGTTACCGTTCATTCCTTCATGTTACCGTTCATTCCCCCTTTGTTACCGTTCATTCCTTCATGTTACCGTTCATTCCTTCATGTTACCGTTCATTCCTTCATGTTACCGTTCATTCCTTCATGTCTCAGTTGCTTCTTTCACGTTGCCGCTGATTCCTTCATAATGTTACCGTTGTTTCCCTTCCTCCATGTTTGCACAGGTCATGAGCTGTCAGGACGGATCAGGCAAACCAGCACACGACGAATCCCAGTCTGCTGTGACGACAGCTGTCGGCACACGATTGGCTGGTCCCATTGGCCAGCCAAGCGATGCCAGTGTAGGTGGAATGGCCAGTGCTGCTGCTGCTGCTGGTGGTGGTGGTGGTAATGGTAGGCTGGACGTTGCTGCTGCTGCTCCTGCTGCTATTGATGGAGGTTTGCTGCTGTCCATGGTAGCTGCTGTTTCTGCCACTGCCACTGCAGTTGCTGCCGCCTCTAATGCTGCTGCTGCTTCAGCTAATCGTGGTGGTGAGAGTGAGGGCACTGCAGCTGCATCAGCTACTCATGCTACCAGGGTTCTGCTACCATGCTATCAGCTAGCTGGCGTGCCTGCGCTTAGGGCTCCTCCTCCTCCTTCTGCCGCCGACGCCGCCGCTGCCGCCGCCGCCGCTGCCGCCGCCGCCGCTGCCGCCGCTGCCGCTGCCGCTGCTGTTGCTGCTCCTGCTCCTGCTGACACAACGCCTGCTACAGCCGCATCTCCTGTGCGCATGAAAGGAACAAGGCCATGCATAACGAGAGCTGTTATTGGGGAAGTGGCACGAGTTGAGTTGGCAACTGATGTGATTGACACACCAGTTGAAATGACCACTGATACAGCAGCTGACGTGGCAGCGAAGTTACGATCCGCAGCTGACGTTGCAGCTAACTCAAGAGCAGATGCTGGAGCAGAAGCAGCGGCTGACGTGGCGGACAGCTCAAACGCTGCTTCTGCAGCCGAAGCAATCGCTGACGTGGCAACCAACTCAAGAGATGATACGCCACCTGAAGCAAGTCCTGAAGCAGCACCTGAAGGGTTACCTGAAGTGGCTCTCGAATCAGGAGCTGATACTGCAGCTGACGTGGCAGATAAGAAAGCTGGTCAAACGACTCACAAGGCAACACGTGTCGTTGTTCACTCCGACTGCACAGCAGCTGAAGCAGAAGCGGACATGGGAAGTTTGGTAGCGACTGATAAGACGACACGTGTCCATGGTAACATTGACGTGGCAGCAGAGGCAGAGGCGGACAAGAGGAGCCGCAAGCTGAGGAAGAAGAAGCGGCTGGTGCGTGCGGGTGTGAGAGAGAGGTTGCTTTCTGTTCAGTTGCAAAGAGGGACTGATTGATTTAGGCGATGATTCCGCCTGCCCGTCCTCACTTTCTTTTTCTTGTCCGTCTGCCGTTCTCTTGTTTTGGCTTCGCTCCTTTTCATCTCCTCATTGATTGTTCATGATATTCTCCTCCTCCTCCTCCTGCTCCTGCTCCTGCTCCTGCTCCTGCTCCTCCTCCTCCTCCTCCTCCTCCTCCTCCTCCTCCTCCTCCTCCTCCTCCTCCTCCTCCTCCTCCTCCTCCTCCTCCTCCTCCTCCTCCTCCTCCTGCTCCTGCTCCTGCTCCTGCTCCTCCTCCTCCTCCTCCTCCTCCTCCTCCTCCTCCTCCTCCTCCTCCTCCTCCTCCTCCTCCTCCTCCTCCTCCTCCTCCTCCTATGCTCCTGTCAGGCTGTTGAGATGGCAGGAAGTGATTTATATTATTTTCCATAAGAAACGCTGTGTGATGGGACGAATCTTGAGGCGCCACCTTATCTCTTTGCGCGTCCCCTCTTCTTCCTCCTCCCTTCCATGCCACAGTCAGGCTGATGACATGGCAGGAGAGAAGTTTCATGATTCGCGTTAATGAATGTCTTTGGTCAGACCATTCTCGAGGCACTTGACGATTCTTGGCGTTAAAGAATTTCCTCTGCCTCGTCTCTTCTTCCTCCCTTCCATGCCCCTGTCAGGCTGACGACATGGCAGGTGAAGAGTTTTTCTTCCTGCCCAGAAAAGCGCCAACCAGACGGCCTAAAAAGGCTGCCCCCGAACCACTTCCCGAGCCTGTGACCGAACCTGCTGGTGAACCTGCTACTGCGGCTGTGACAGAACCTGGTCCTGGACTTGGTATGGAAGCAGTGGAACCAAAGCATGTGCTTCTTTCAAAATTGGCCACAGCAGCAGGGCGTGTCAGGTCAGGACTTGATGGGGCAGGGCTTTTTGGCGCAGCAGTAGTGGAAACACAGTCACAGAATCAGTGTGCGGTGAGGGAAGAGTCAGACGCACATCCAGGAGCTTTTGAGTTGGCTCACATGGCGTCATGAAATCAAGATGCGGTGAGGGAAGGGATGAATAAAGAATCAGAAGCATGTGCTGGTGCAGCACCTGCCGGTGCGATTGGCCCTGCAGCAGACTCTGCATTGAACAACGCACTGCTGTGTGATTCTGATGCTTCCGCCTGCTTAGGAGAGAAGTCTGAGAATAGCACGCGTGCGCGGCGGCAGGAGGCACCTCTGCCATTGCAACAGCAGCAGATGCAGCAACAGCGTCACCAGCACCATCAGAATGAGCAGCAATGGCTGCAGCACCAGCAGCAGCAGAATTACCATCGGCAGCAGCAGTGGCGGCAGAAGCTGAGTCTGACTCAGCCTGATACTCTCTGGGAGCTTCGAGGGACAAATCCGACCAATAAGATTGCGCCACTTGGCGCACTTGGTGCCAATGGCGTGGGAGCATTGAAATGCGTTTCGTCGTTGACAGAAGGGGTGCGATTAGAGGGCTACATGGAAGGGGCTAATACGGAGGGGCCACTAAAGGGGAAATTTTCAGATATGGAGGGAGTTGGGTTGTTACGGGAAGTGAGGGAAGGGGTGGATGTGGGGAGGGCCGGAAGAGGTGATGGAATGAGGGATGAGGAGAGGGGCAGTGAAAGAGAAGAGAAGCCGTTTGACTATGTTGGTGTTGCTGATTGTGTTGTTGATGTTGCTCACGCGGAGCAGAATTGCTTGCCAGGCGCAGATGTGGTGGGGGCTGGGAGGGGTGGTGGTGGATCGGGTGGTGAGGAGGAGAGGCGTGGAGTGGGAGAAGAGAAGACGGTATTTGTTGATGTTGGTGTTGGTGTTGGTGTTGCTCTTGTGGAGCAGAATGTTTTGCCAGGGGTTGAGGGTCGAAAAGGGAGCAAGGGGAAGGGGAAGGGGGTGGGGAAAGGGAAGGAGGGAGGGAAGGTTGAAATGCGTTGTAAAGGGGCTAAAGCAAAGGCAGGAGGCAAGGCAAAAGCAGGAGGAGGATTAAACGGGGAAGGACTGGAGAAGGGAGGTGCTAAGCCAAAGGTTAAGTCTAAGTCTGTAAAAACTGCCAAGGCTGCAGGTTCGGCCAAGGCTGCAGGTTCGGCTAAGGCTGCAGGTCCGGCCAAGGCTGCAGGTTCGGCCAAGGCTGTAGGTTCAGCCAAGGCTGCAGGTTCGGTCAAGGCTGTAGGTTCAGCCAAGGCTGTAGGTTCGACGAAGGCCCAGAGGAAGCGTGAGGAAGCAGGGGGGGAAGCAGGCGGGGCAGCGAAGAAGTCGAAGGGGGTGGGAGGGAAGAGGAAGGGGATAGCGGCTGTGATGGATGAGGGTTATGGGAATGAGGGTGGTGGGAATGAGGGTGGAGTTTTTGGGTCAGGTGCAGCTGGTTCAGGTGTTTGTGGGTCAGATGCAGGTGATTCAGGTGTTTCTGGGTCAGGTCTAGGTGGTTCAGGTTCAGGTGGTCTGGTGGCTGGGGTCCAAACTGCTCCGTCCTCCCCCCCCATCGCGCACACTTCCTCCTCTCCCTTCCCGCATTCCCCTCATGCACTTCCCCCTTCCCCATCTCGGCCTCCTCCGCCCCTCCCCCCGCCCCCGCCCATGCCGAAGCCGTGCTTTGACTTCCTTCTCCCCAGCAGCAGCATCGGAGATTTGATTGCAGTTTGGGACTTTTGCTGCCGCTTCTCCCCTGCCTTCCGCCTCTCCCCCTTCTCCCTCTCCTCTCTAGAGCTGTCGCTGGCGTTTGAGGGGGAGGATGGGGGCGGGGGGAGGCGCGGAATGGGGGGAGGACTGGCGGGGAGAGAGGGGGCGAGGAGATTTGTGAAGGGAGAAGCTGAGGTGTTAGAGTGTGAGGGGGGGGATGGGCAGGGGGAAGTGCGGTGGGGAGAGCAGGGGGGAAGCCAGGGGGAAGAACAGGGGAAAGAGCAGGGGGGAGAGCAGGGGGAAGAGTGTGGGGGAGAGCAGGGGGGAGAGCAGGGGGTCAAGCAAAGGGCGAAGCATGGGGAGGAGCAAAGGGAGAAACAGGAGGGAGAGCAGGAGGCAGTGCAGGGGGAGGAGAAAGGGCGACAGAATGTGGAAGGGCAGGAAACGGGGGGAGGGGGTGGGTGCCGGAAAGAGGAGAGGAGGGAAGAGGAGGAATTGGACGAACATGCATTGAAAGAGGGGATGTTGGAAGACGAAAAAATGGTTTTGGGGAAATTGGAAGAGGGAAAGTTGGAAGAGGGAAAGATGGAAGAGGGGAAATCGGAAGAGGGGACATTGGAAGAGGGGAAATCGGAAGAGGGGAAATCGGAAGAGGGGAAATTGGAAGAGGGGAAATCGGAAGAGGAGAGATCGGAAGAGGAGGAAAAGGAGGGGTCGGAAAGAGGGTGGGATTGGGGGGCAGGGTGGGGGAAGGGGCGAAGGCTGAGAGGCAGGCGGGATGGAGGAGGAAAGGAAGGCGGTGCGAGTGAGAGCCGGGAGAGGGAAAGAGTGCGGGAAGAAATAGGGAATGGAAGAGGAAACGGCAGGAGGGGACAAGGCAGAGGAGGGAGTGAGGGAGGGAGAAGGCGTAGAGAGGTTGTGTTACCTCCGCTGTTGGGGGAGGTGCATACGGCACTGCTGTGGGCAGCTCTGAGCCATAAAGGTTTCGAAGAGGAGTTCAAGAAGCAGCGGCAGGGGAAGAAAGAGGTATGTGGTGTGCTGCCGTGGTGGTATGTGTGATGCACGCCTTTAGTTGAACAATCCCTACATTGGCCCTTGTGAACAAATTTTGAGAAAATTTGAAACTCAAACAAATCCTACACTGGCCTCTCATGTATCGCCCCACACATGGCTTGTGTACCTTTCTGCCAGGTTAAATTTAGATGTAGAAAAAAAGACGCTAATTAATCTCTTCCTTTCCTACTCTCTCCCCCACCTTCAGGTGTCGCCTCACACGTGGCTGGAGGACGTGTCAGCATGGGCCAACACCCCTTCAGTGCACTCCAGGACATGGCAGACTGAGAACCTCTCCAAGGAGTCGTTAAGCACTGCTTCGGTGCATGGCAGAGTGCGACTTGAGACATCTCAGGGGTCTCAGGACCGTTTCAAGGACTCTATCAGCCCGCCTTCAGAGCACAGGAGCCTGCAGCCACGCAGGCTGATTCTCAATGGCATGCATCCGTCCCAGGCATGTCGATCCGACGGTCCACAGGTTGTGGAGGCCTGTGCATCTGACGGTGGGAAGCTGCTGAGTGTGGCTGAGTACTTGGGCCGTGGTGACAGGGCCTGTGATCGTGCTAATTCTGCTGATGGTGGTGACCCTACTGTTGCTCCTGATACTGATGCTATTGTTGCGGATGGTGCTGCTATTAGTGCTGGCAGCAGTGGCAATGGTGGTGACGGCAATGGTGAGACAACAGCTGCTGCTGCTGCTGCTGCTGCCGCCGTTACTGCTGATTCTGATAGGATACATCCTAGAAACTCTCTGGATTCTTTTCCTCTTCCAAACAGCATTTTGCCGAAACACTATGCTAGGCTCGGCGCTGAAGCAAAGCTGCTCTTGCTTCGGGAGCTGGTGAACGCTGCACTAGAGGGGGACATTCTGCGGGCAGCTGTGGAAAAAAAACTTGCAGCTATGGACGAGTTGGCCGGGCAGAAAAAAGTTTTGGCGGAGGAGGAACGGGCGTGCAGGGAGAAAGCAGCATTGCGGGAGAGAGTGAGAAAGAGGGAGAGAGAAGAGAGGGCGAAGCAGAGGAAGGAAAGGGAAGAGAGGGCGAGGAGGGAGGAGGAGGAGAGGATTTTGAGGGAGGAGAGGGAGAGGAGGTGGAGGTGGGGAGGGAGGCAGCAGAGGTCTCGTTGTAGCTTTTCTGATAAGCTTCCCTGTAAAGTGGGATCTTCAGGAGGTGACGCAATGTGTGTGTGTGTTGATGCTGGTGCGGGCGGTAATGCTGGTGTAACGATCAACACCAGTGTCGACACTAGTGTCGATACGCGTGTCGACACGAGTGTCAGTCCTAGTGGCGTCTCTGCCTGCGTTCAGTCTTCCCTTGAAGATTGTGGGGGCAAGGATGAACCATTCACTAGAGGTGTTGCTGCTGCTGCTGCTGCTGCTGCTGGTGGAGATATTGCCGGTGCTGATCGTGCTGAGATTGAGTCCACTAATATTCTTGATGAGCCATCCATTACTGTCGATGGTGGTGCTGCTGGTACAGGTACGACAGATGGGGTCGCAGTTGCTACACTTGCTACTGCTGCCTCTGATGCTGCTACAGCTGCTACAGTGGCTATTGATGGAAACACAGCTGCTGCAGCTGCCACTGATGATATGGGAAATATGGACGGTGTTGCAGTTGCTACAGCTGCCATAGCTGCCACAGCTGCCACAGCTGCCACAGCTGCCACAGATGTTGCAGCAGATAGCATTGATGGGGGTGGAGCTGCTACAACGGCCACTGGTACTGCTGATGCTGCTAATGCTGCTACAGATAACATTGATGGAAATGCAGCTTCTACAGTTGCCACGGATGGTGCTGCAACTGCTACTGATGGTGCTACAACTGTTGCAGCTGCTGCTGCTGCTACACCTGCTACAGCCATGGGATCAGAATCCCCTTCTGCTACCTTATTGGCTGCTGGGAGGGGCAGGAATCGGGGGCTGTCCTGGCCCACCAGTAGCAGGAGGACACGTGGCACTGGTAGAGATTCTGTAGGAGGGCTGTCCGATGCTGTGAGGGAGGGGGAAGGGGAGGAGAGACTGGAGGAGGGGAGAGAGGAGGGTCAAGGAGGGGAAGGGATGGATAAGCAGATCAGGGGAAGGAAACGAGGAAGGAGAGCAGTAAAGGGCAGTTTGGGTAATGGGTGTGGGAGCGAGGAGGGGGAGAAGGATGAGGGAGAGAGGCGAGAGTGGGAGCTGCAGTGGGAGGAGAAGGAGAGGAGGTGGAGACGAGAGGAGGAGGAGGAGGCAGCAGAGAGGCAGCAACTGCAAAAGAAGGTATGTGGTGAAGGTGGTATGAGGTTCCCTACAGCACAGCAGTTGCAGTTACTTTTGAGAATTCTCAAGAGATTCCTTACAGCACATCAGTTGCAGCATGGCCTTAGGGACCAGGTCTTAAAGACCAGGTCTTAGAGACTCTCCACTATCCCACCATCCACATTATTTCAACCCCCACCAGTGTTGGGACCTTGACAAAAAGGCAGAACGGGTGTCAAGCCGAGCCGTGGAGGTGTGATGCGGCCACCCAACGCCTTCTCCTCCTCTCTCCCAACACATCTCCACATCTCCTTCCCACCCCTTTTCCCTTCGCACCAGTGTCCGGACCTGGATAAAGTGGCATCGGTTAAAGCTGTGCCAGTGGGGTGTGACTGGGAGGGCAGGCGGTACTGGTGATCAGTGCATGATAAAGCCCCTTACTGCTGATCAGTGCATGATAAAGCCCCTTACTGCTCTCCTCCATGTCTTGAGACGTCTCAAAACTAGATTACTGCTCTCCTCCATGTCCTCCCCTCCATTCGCTCCCCACCAGTGCCAGGACCTGGATAAAGAGGCCGAGAAGGCATTGGCTCGAGCTGTTGCCCAATGGAGTGATCAACCTCCTCACTGCCCCATCCCTCTCCCCCTTCCCATCCCTCTCCCCCTTCCCATCCCTCTCCCCCTTCCCATCCCTCTCCCCCTTCCCATCCCTCTCCCCCTTCCCATCCCTCTCCCCCTTCCCATCCCTCTCCCCCTTCCCATCCCTCTCCCCCTTCCCATCCCTCTCCCCCTTCCCATCCCTCTCCCCCTTCCCATCCCTCTCCCCTTCCCATCCCCCACCAGTGCCAGGACCTGGATAAAGAGGCCGAGAAAGCATCGGTTCGGGCGGTGCCGGTGGGGTGGGACCGGGAGGGCAGGTGGTACTGGTGGTTTGGGCGGGAGGCGAGATTGTTCGTGGAGGGAGAGGGTGGGAGGCGATGGGGATACTACAGCAGTGTTGACGAGGTGAGAGGGGGTTACTAGAGCACCGCACAGCACCGAATAGCATTGCACAGCACCACATTTCGTAACTGAGGGAGGGGGAAGGCGATTGGAGGGAGAAGGTTTTTAGAGCACCGCACAGCACCTCACAGCACTGCACAACACCTCATTCACCGCATCGCACATCCTCTCCCTTCACCCGCTTCCCTTCCCCTCCTCCGCTCTGCTGAGCTCTCTGGACCATCGCTTTCCGTGTGAAAGGTTTCCGCGCACCAAGCTCACCACACAGCACCACACAGCACATCCCCTGATCTCTAATCTCTCCCCTCCCATTCCTATCAACACAATTTGATGCGCTGCTGTGCTCTCTGGACCCTCGTTTTCCATGAGAAAGGCGCCTGCACGCCCAGCTGACTGCAGAGCACTGCACAGCACCGCACAGCACATCCCCTAACCTCCACTCTCTCCCCTGCCCACCTCGCCCGTCAACAGTTAGACGCCCTGCTGTGCTCTCTGGACCCTCGCTTTCCCTGTGAAAGGCGCCTGCACGCCCAGCTCACTTCACAGCAGGACAGCATCAGGTAGGGAGTGAGCGAATTTCTGTGTGTCAGACACCCAGATAGCATAGAGGAGGAGGCAGACGCTTTCCTGGACCCTCGCTTTCCTGGACCCTCGCTTTCCATGCGAAAAGCGTCTGCAGGCCCAGGTCACTGCACAACAGGACAGCATCAGGTAGGGAAAACAAGGTACTGAATAGACGAAGACCATTCAAGGATTTTCTTAGGCACGTAGATAAAAATACCAGGTATTTACGAACATAAAGAAATTGAACGGGCTGCTGGACTGCTTTGAGTCGACTCAAATGAAGAAATTGAACGGGTTGCTGGGCTCTCACATTCCACTTGGAACGAGACTGCATCACTCTTGCATTTTTTTTGCCTACTCTGGAATATCGACCACCCCTTCCCCCCCCCCCCCCCCCCCCCCCCCACTTCAACCACCCCTTTCCCCCACTCCCTAACCCTCCGTTTCTGATCTGCTCTTCTCCCGCCCTCCCTCTCTCTCCTCCTGCCTTTCAAATCGCTTCTTCTTTCAAATTGCTCCTTTCTTTCAAATCCGCTCGACTCCACCCTTCCTCTCTCCCGCTCTATCCCTCTTTCCCTCTCCCCCATCAGATCCGCCCTGCTCTCAGGGGCGAGGGCCCTGGCTTGCCAGCTTGCTTCTGCTGCTGCTTCTTCCCCCTGACGACCTACCTTCCCTCGTTCAATTTTGTCTCTTCCCTCCTTATCTCCCTCTTCCCATCAGATCCTCCCTGCTCTCAGGAGCCAGGGCTCTAGCTCGCCAGCTGGCAGCAGCTGCTGCCTTCTCCTCCCCGTCGTCCTCGGTTCCCACCGCTGCTGCTGCCGCCGCTGCAAATGGTGCTGCTGGTGGTGCTGGCGGTGGCGATGACGTTATTGGTGCTTCTGGTAATCTTAGACGGTCGACCCGCGTTCGTGCCATGTCATCACCTACAACTCGTACCACGTCACCAGCAGCATCGTCCACGTCAGCAGCACCAGCGGAGAAGGCAGGAACAGGGAGGAATGGGTCTGTGGGTGGGGGTTCATTATCCCCCCTAAAGAAGCCTTCAAGATTGTCTATGGAGCAGCAGCAGATTCTGTTTCCTCCGCAGCTACGTTATGTAAATACTATGGCAACGAACTGGTAATGAAATTTCACAGCACTCCTAAATACCCTTGCAAAATAACCAGTCGAATGAAAGTGAGTGATCCTACAGCACAGCCAAATGCAATTGTTAGTGTTCATTACTCTCTCAATACAAGATGGGGCGGAGACTCAGGAACTGAATAAGAGAAATTAAGACCGTTAATCGGATCTATGTCTAGGCCAAGAGAGAGTAACACTTGAATCAAGTCATCTGGTAACAGAGCAACAATCTCAAGAAACCCCCCATCCCTCCCAACAGTAGGTTCTAGGGTTGACTGTATTGGGAGCGCAGGGAAGAAGAAAGGTTCCCCTTCAAGTGGCAGCGAGGGGGCAGATTCGTTTCCAGGTGGCAGCAAGGGGGCAGATTCGCCTTCTAGTGCGGCAAGGGCATGAATGAGGGGGGATTCGGCTTCAGGTGTGGTGAAAGGGGGGGATTCGGCTTCAGGTGTGGTGAAAAGGGGGGATTCGGCTTCAGGTGTGGTGAAAAGGGGGGATTCGGCTTCAGGTGTGGTGATAAGGGGGGATTCGGCTTCAGGTGTGGTGATAAGGGGGGATTCGGCTTCAGGTGTGTGCATGAGGGGGGATTCAGGTTGAAGGGTGGGCAGGGGCACCAGCAGGCGGGAAGCGTGGAGGAAGAGGCGGGAGGGGGGCAGGCGGTGGGTCTGGCGGAAATGTGCGTTCGTGCGGCCCTTGCCGTGCACTGAGTCTCCTATGACCTGGGAGTGTGGGGGGGGTGGGGGTGGGGAGGGAGAGGGGGAAGGGGAAAGGCAACCACACATGAAATGGGCAGGCGGTGGTTCTGGCAGAAGTGGGCGTTGGTGTGGCCCTTGAGGTGTATTTTGAGGCGCCTCAAAATACACCTCAATGCAGGCAGGCAGTGGTTCTGGCAGAAGTGGGCGTTGGTGTGGCCCTTGCCGTGCACCGAGTCTCCTATCACCTGATGGGGGTATGGGAGGGAGAGGGGGAAGGGGAAAGGGAAGCACACCTGAGGCGGCAGGCGGTGGTTAAGGAGGAAATGGGTGTTGGTGCGACCCTTGCCATAGATCCAGTCTCCAATCACCTGATGGGGAGTGGAGGAGGAATCACACAGGAAGGAGGGGGGATTACACAGGAAGGAGGGGGGATTACACAGGAAGGAGGGGGGATTACACAGGAAGGAGGGGGGATTGCACAGGAAGGAGGGGGGATTGCACAGGAAGGAGGGGGGATTGCACAGGAAGGAGGGGGGATTGCACAGGAAGGAGGGGGGATTACACAGGAAGGAGGGGGGATTACACAGGAAGGAGGGGGGATTACACAGGAAGGAGGGGGGATTACACAGGAAGGAGGGGGGATTACACAGGAAGGAGGGGGGATTACACAGGAAGGAGGGGGGATTACACAGGAAGGAGGGGGGATTACACAGGAAGGAGGGGGGATTACACAGGAAGGAGGGGGGATTACACAGGAAGGAGGGGGGATTACACAGGAAGGAGGGGGGATTACACAGGAAGGAGGGGGGATTACACAGGAAGGAGGGGGGATTACACAGGAAGGAGGGGGGATTACACAGGAAGGAGGGGGGATTACACAGGAAGGAGGGGGGATACACATGCGCGTATGTATAAGCTTCCTCTCACATGGAAAGCGAGGTGGTTGAGGTGCCGTCGAATCTGGTGTCTGCGCCCTGTGGATATTCGCACAGACAGCAGCGAGCAGTGGTGCTGCGGAATTTCCAGGAGCTTTCTGAACTGGGAGAGGGCCGGCTTGACCACGCCCTTATCATCCTTCAGTGGTTTGTCACATGTGAAGGCGTCTGGAGGGGAGCCTCGCACAAGGACTAGGTATCTGGGAGGGAATGGGGGGTATGGGTAATGATGGGGAGAGGCAGAGAGGAGCCTTTTGAACTGGGAGAGGGTTGGCTTGAGTGTGCCCTGGTCGTCTTTCAGCGGCTTGTCACACGTGAATTCGTTAGGAGGGGAGCCTCGCACAAGCACCAGGTACCTGGGAGGGGAGATATGGGGGAGGTGAGTGATGGGGGAGGGGAGTGATGGGGGAGGGGAGTGATGGGGGAGGGGAGTGATGGGGGAGGGGAGTAATGGGGGAGGGGGGAATTCTCAAAAGTGATTACCACCATTCCTACCACTTACCCGCCCGCCCACCCACTCTGTTGCACTCCACGCGCCACCCACCACTCACTCCTTCACGGCAGCAGGGTGTGCCATGGCTGCTCGCACTCGCCCGCATGCATCTGCCACTAAACCCTGAACACCTGGTGCTATGTGTGTTCCACATCTGCCATCCTCCCCACCCACCCATCCTCGTATCCGCCCACTACTGCCCCTTGCCCCACCACTCACTCCTTGACAGCAGCAGGGTGAGTCAAGGCCTCTCGCACTCGCCTGAACACCTCTGCAGTTCGCCCAAGCACCTGGTCTTCCATAGGCGAACGAGTTTTGAGTCGACTCAAAACTCGACTCAGTTCGCCCAAGCACCTGGTCTTCCATAGGAGAAAAGCTGCTTGCGTTCGCAGCTCTCTACCTCTCTCCCTCTCTCCCTCGCCCCATCACCCTCCCACCACTCACTCCTTGACAGCAGCTGGGTGGGCCATGGCTGCTCGCACTCGTCTGCATGCCTCTGCTGTCCGCCCAAACACGAGCGCCCCACTGGCCGGTCGGTCGATACGATGCGCTGGGAAGAGGGGGTGGTCTGTGGCGTTTACGGGAAGAGACAAAAGAGAGGGAAGGAAGGAAGATAAAAGAGGTGGAAGGGGGTGGGAAAGGACGCATATAAGGTGCCTCTGCTGCTCGCCCGAACACGAGCACCCCACTGGTCAGTCAATTCTATGCGCTGGGAAGAGAGGGAGGTCTGTGACGCATGGAGGGGAGGAGAGGAAGGGTGACGAGACAGAAGAGGGGGAAGGGAGAGGATGAAAGTGGGGAAGGAGGCGACAGTGCCGCCTCTGCTGTTCGCCCAATCACAAGCACCCCACTGGCCGGTCGGTCGATGCGATGTGCTGGGAAGAGAGGGTGGTCTGTGATGCATGCAGGGGGAAGCGGGGGGAGAAGCGCAGCATGACAGGGAAGAGAGGGAAGAGACGGACGAGGCGGGAAAGGAGGGAGAGAAGAGGAAGATAAGGAAGACGGGAAGAGAAGGAAGAGTGCAAGAGAGAGAAGAGGAGAGAGAAATGTAGGGGGTTGGGCAGTGAAGCGGGGTGGACACTTATCAATGCCACTTCCTACCTAGTGCTTCAGCACATTGCGGCACATTGTTGCCCAAACCAAACCCTGCCTGTTCCTCTCGCTGCACCTAGCCCTAGCCTCCAGTCAAACTGCTCTAACCCCAAACCCAAACGACTAGCTTCTTTTCCATCCAATCCAACCCATCGCTGACCACTCTCATACCAAGCTCCAGCTCTCCTTTTAAGCCCCTTACTCCACTGTCCCAAACCGGACAGTTCTGTCCGTCCCACCCATCGCTCATTCCCCACGTACCCAGCCCAGCTCCACCATATCCTTTACAGAGGCACCCGGCGCTCGCTCCTCCTGCATTCGCTCCTCTGTACAGGGCATGCACCCACTCACCCGCCCGCCCATGGCTCATGTACCCAAACCTAGCTTCTTTTCCACCCCATCCATCGCCCATCACTCTCACATACCCAGCCCCAGCTGTCGCTCCACCATATCCTTCACGAAGGCTCCCTGCGCTCGCTCCTCCCGCGTGGCTTCGCGAGACGAGTGCACCATGATTCCCGGCGGTTTGTTGACTGCGATCAAGTGCTCGTCTTCAAATACCACCTGGATCGCTGGAGCGCCCGAACCACATCTGCCTGACGTATCCCCAGGTTCGGCAGGCAGCTTCGGTGAGACGCCCCGAACCGAATTGTTCGGTACAGCCGAGGCGGGACCCCTCGTTTTATTGGACACCAGGCTCGGAAGAGGTGTGAGGCTCGCGAATGGGTCGGCTGTAGATTCCGACCCTGCACGGATGTAGGTTCGGATCCGAACCGAATCAGGACGATGGGCGTGGGAGGAGGTCGCCCGACACGACGAGAAGAGCAACGAGCCAATGCGCACCGCTCTTACGACCGCCATTGGTTCACGTGCAATTCGAGTCGAACATGCCGGGCCTTGCCGCTCGCAGCGCTTAGTAGCTGCCGCTTTGGTGTACCGTAGGTATGCCGTCTAAAGCTTTTAAAACCGTTTAAAGGCGTCCACTCTGGTTCAGATTATCCAAGCATGGCGCGCACAATATCCTGACTGGCCGAGGCGGGAGACGGAGAAGTAGCTGTGTCACGTCCGCCTTCCGTAGATTCCGCTAGAATCCGAGCTGTCTGACTGGGAGTGGTAGGTGGACCAGGGACGGAGGAGTTTGCGACTCGACATAACAGAGGGAAAGGGAGGCGGCTTCAATTAGGCAGATCGCGTCGCGTCTCAAAACTCGGATTATATTCCTCGATGGTGCATTCCGAATTCAGAACGCGTTTCTAGGGCGTTGTACAGGTCCCAACGGGCAGTAGTTCCATTACCACTCCGACGGAAGTGGGTTAACGCGAACAATGTTACCACCGCGCAGTGGGCTCGTCGGCTCAACTTTCGGGTAATTCGAACTCTGTCTGACGACGTTGCAAAAGCTGACTGGGATGGCGAGATTGATGACGAAATTGCGCGAGATTTCGCTCATTTGGTTGTTCCCGGACGAAAACTAGAGTCACTCGAACCAGACATGAGTGCAGCACCCTCCTGACACCGACCAGTGTCACATTGTAAATACCCCCTAGCTCTTCAATTTTTATTTCTTCTTATTTTCTTTTCAGCTCCACTTAAAACCCGCAGGCCAAGAATTTCAACCTTAGGAAGGTTGGTTGGGAGTGAAAACGCAAAAGGCCTGCGAACCAATAGGAGTGTCCGAAATGTTGGACGAGGTCTAGAATTCGGGAATGATCACAGGCATTTTTGGGACATCCAACCAACGCTAGGAAGGATGAACCAAATTTGGCCTTCTTGGCCTGCGGGTTTTAAGGCAAGCAGTCCGCTTGCTTCGTGCATTCCGCTTTTCTGATGCAACCGATTGCTGCCGACGCGATTCGGCCGTTGTTCCTCCCCGCATTTTCTGGTCGCGAGAAGCGATGTCCTCTCCATTGCCACTACCGACTCGAAGCGCCCTTTCATTCTGCACTCCATCCCCGACATTAACTGCCTCGTTATCGTCCACCTTGCCCGCTCTAGCAGGAACCCGCAGAACCAATTATCTGGGTAGGCTATCAATCACCCGCAGATTGATTTTCCCAAATAATATTATAGGTACCCGCCGCAAAAGGGCAGTTATGGCTTCGGCTGCGCACACGGCAACCACAACAGAAGGGATTTCCGAGGGTAATTCACCCGCGCGGAACGGACTCGTTCAAATCTCCGGGCTGAAGGAGCTCGTTGAAACGGGGAAATACGAGGTAGGAACGCTGCTTGAACATTCAAGGTTGAAGGTTTTGGGTCGGTGAAAGTCTCCCATCTCCAAGGCATGAATTCTGAACCAGTTTTGAAGGGACTTGCTTCATAATAGCTTTGAAGGCCACACGTATCCCTGTCCTCCCTCACACTGCTCTCCCCCTTCCTCCGCCTCTCCCCTCCCCTTCCCCCACCACCTCCCGGCCACCTTCCTTTCCCCCAGGCCTGGATTCTGGACCAGTTTGGGGTGCTACACGACGGCAAGAAGGCATATCCCCAGGCGATCGAAGCATGTGAGTGGGTTTCGCAACTCATCGTGACCCATTTCCTTTGCTCTCAGCTACCGGGTAAGGGGTATCCTGCAACGAAACGAGTATTGGGTGGTGCGCTCCCTATAACTCTCTCCCTTGCATACTGCCCCCTCCGAATTCCCTTTTCTATGCATCCGTTTCGAGAAATCTTGAAAGTTCAACAGGAATACTTCTCTCTTTCTTACTACACAGACAACCCTTATCCTATACCTATCACTATCCCCATCCTTATCCTTATCCTCCCTGGCCAATTACAGTGCGCCAGCTGGCAGCATCTGGTGCCAAGGTGGTGCTTCTCAGCAACTCGTCTCGCAGGGTGGAGGTGGCTTCCAAGAAGCTTCCTTCTCTGGGCTTTGACCCGTCGCTCTTCTGTGGAATCGTGACGAGTGGGGAGATCATACACCGACACTTGATGGAGTGAGTGAGTGAGTGAGTGATGGATATCACACACGGGAGTGAGGGAGCGAGTAAGTGGCCCAGTCACACCCCCCCGCATTAAGATGGTGGAAGAAAAAACACGTAAGGTTTGACCAAAGACAGATGGACGGACTCACTGGCTTGGGAGCTTTTTGAGAATTCTAAAAAATCCCTGCAGATGGACTTTGAGAATTCTCAAATGGTGCGACTTCTGAGAATTCTCAAAAGAGGAACAGATGGACGGACTCACCGGCTTGGGATCTCTGCATCGTCGCACAGAGGTGCATTTTCCGTCTCTTCCCCTTTCCTAACCATATCTCCTCTCCCTTCTCTCCTTCTGCCACCCTCCAATCCCTCCGTTGACCCCTTTTTCAAGACTCTCAGATTAGAGAGCCTGCACTGCACCTAGGCTGTTAGAGAGCCTGCATTTCCCCTCACCCCTCTCCCCCCTCTTTCTCTACCCTCTCTCCCCTCTCTCCTCTCCCCCCCACCTTCCAGTCGCTCCCTCGACCCTTTTTTCCAGACGCTCGGATCAAAGTGCCTGCAATTCACCTGGGCTGCCAGGGGAGCGGTTTCTCTGGAGGTAGGGAAGGGGGACCACACAAATACACTGAGATTGCTTAAAGGGGCTATATCGTATCCCTTGGTTTCCTGATACGAGAGTGCCTGCAATTCACCTGGGTTGCCAGGGGAGCGGTTTCTCTGGAGGTAGGGAGGGAGGGCTACGGGCATACACACAGAGCCATGAGAATACATGTAGCTACCACACAATTACCGTAGGGTGTTTTTGAGAATTCTCAAAAACATCCTACAGCGGGAGGGCTACGGGCATACACAGAGCCACAAGAATACACGTAGCTACCACACAATCACCTTTATTGCATTAGGGAAGGCAGACTCTAGACCGTATCTCTTCACTTCATAATAAGGGTTCCCATGGCAGAGGCAGTGGGGGGGTTGCACACGCACAGAGGCAGTGGGGGGGTTGCACACACACCCGAGACCACCCGGCTTCATCTCCCCTTTCCCCCACTCCGCTCCCCCTTCCTGCCGCATCCCCCACCAATCACCACAGGGGTTGGGTCTCCAAGTGGTAGAGTCACCAGAAGAAGCGGATTTTATCCTCGCGCACGGCACAGAGGCAGTGGGGGTCGCAGAAGCAGGAAAACCCGCCCGCCCGGCCTCACTGGATGAGCTGGCGGGGCTGATGAGACGGGCGGCGGAGGAGGGGCGGCGGAGAGGCAGGATGATCCCGATGGTCGTGGCTAACCCTGATATAGTCACCGTGGAAGCCCGGGCTTTAAGGGTCATGCCTGGGACTTTGGCTCGGCAATACGAGCAGATGGGTGGTGTGGTCAAGTGCATGGGGAAACCAGACCCAGTATGTTATCTCTTGCCCACCCCCACCCCCACCCCTTCCACCTATGACCTTCATACCGTTACGGTGGAGGTGGGGGTTGTAATGTTCATGCATGCATGGGGCTCTGGCTTGTTAGCGCAAGCAAGTGAACGTTTTGTTTTATTTATTATTTCCTGCTCTTTGTTGGGCGTTGTTATTCATCCCACAGCCACTTATTCCTCTAAAGCTTGCTCCCACTCCTACTTTCCTCCATCATCCCCTCCCAGATTTCTTTTCGGGCAGCCCAGCAGCTGACCGGGATCTCTCTCGACCGCACAATCATGGTCGGCGACTCGCTACACCACGACATTCTAGGGGCGGAATCTTTCGGCATTGACTGCGTGTTTGTAGCAGGGGGGATACATGCGGATCAACTAGGGGTGCCACCACCAGCACCAGCAGCAGCAGCAGCAGAGGAGGAGGAGGAGGAGGAGGAGGAGGAGGAGGAGGAGGAGGAGGAGGAGGAGGAGGAGGAGGAGGAGGAGGAGGAGGAGGAGGAACAGGGGAGAAGAGAGGGGAATGAAGTGATGAGGGGAATGGGAGGGGAAAATGTGGAGAGTAAAATAGAGAGGGAGGCAGGGGGGGAAATGAATGAGGGGAAGTTGAGAGAGCTGCTAGAAGAAACGGGTGCTGATCCTTCATATGTGCTGCCTTATTTCCAGTGGTAACTGGGTTTTCAATTCACATGTATCGTTGATCGGTAACTGGCGTATGCCAGTTACTACATGGATTTGCACCGGTGTATCTTACCATTTGTGGATGGAGCTACAGTTGGAGTTGCGCCCTTGTGTATCTTATTATTTGAAGAAATTCAATGAAAATGTGCAAGGAATGCAAGAATGGGTCAAATGGGCTACAAGCATGTTATGAATATGAACTGCCAAGGATTATACATAGAGTCGCAAATTCTCATGGAATTGAAACATTCACGGTCGAATTCAAGCATTTACGGAGCTGCTCTTGGCTAATCCTAGGAGAAGTCTTCAAGCAAAGAAAGCTGAGCCTCTTAAGGCTCTTCAACCCGCTAATCCCATGCGTTGTGAAGCCCGAACAGTCATCTAGAGTTAATTTCTGCAACGCGGTAAACCGCAGTACATACCCTAATGCATAGTCCGTTAATCTGAAGCAACCCCGCAGGTGTAGCTCCTGTAAGGACCGCGTCAGGTATTGGTCACTGTAGTAATACTCCTGTCCTGGAGGCTTATAACGAGACAGCTTCTCTATGCCTTTATCGGAGATGGCATGGCATGCGTCTGCTTCTAGGAGCACCAATCGCAAGCCGGCAATCAATGCAAAACCATCATCTGTAACGGCTTGGCATCCTTTGAGGTGTAGACGTTTGAGTGTAGTTATGTGCATCAGGAGCGAAAGGCCCTTGTCTGTGAGTTTCACACACGCAGACTTGGTAGATGAGAGGGAGGAGGCAGATGGAGTGCGGATGGCAGATGGAGAGGGGGTGGTAGATGCAAGGAGAGGCTTGGCAGATGGGAGGGAGGAGGAGGCAGAATATTGTTTCAGAGATGTAGCTTGGTAGCTGGTGAAGGAAGGCCGAGATGAGGCTGTACCAGCTGTAGCAGTAGCAGCTGGAGCTGTAGCTGTAGCATTTGTAGCAGCTGTAGCAGATGCGACTGTAGCGGATGCAACAGCAGCAGCTGGTGTGACTGTATCTGACGTGACTGTATCGCAGCCCCAGAGCCAGACCTCCTTGAGAGACCACAGGTGAGACAGGTGCAGCAGCGACGCGCTCATGTCGTGACGAACGGTGCAACCCACGCAGCCGCCCAGGGACAGAATCTCCAAAGATTTGATTTTCCCCAGGTGATGCAGGCCGATGCTGCTGATGCTGGATCCGTGTAACCACAGCTCTTGTAGTGTAGTTACTGTAGAAAGGTGGCCTAAACCCTCCTCCCGGATGGGAGTGTGAGATATGAACAGTGATTTAAGAGAGGGGCACTTGGAGAGATGGGCTATAACTGGACCGGAGAGGCTTGTACAGAGGATGAGGTTGAGTCGCTGCAGTGAATGGAACGACGACAGGTGGCAAAGAGAGGCATCTGTGATCCCTGTGCATCCGGCCATGTGGACCTCTTTCAGGTTCGTGGTCAGGCTGTCAAACTGAAGCACACCTGCCCCGGGAAGAAGAAACTTTCCGGTGATGGCTTTGCAAGCTGACATGGCATCCTCCCGCCCGAAAATGAGTTTAGAGATCGTGGGGAGGATGGAAGGGTGAAGGATGGAAAGGGCGCGGATGAAGAGGGATATGTCCCGGTCTGAAACGGTGGGGTAGGGTGTGAAGTCGAGGGAGCCTTGTTGCAGGGCGAAGGGGAAGGACTGAAGCATCAGGTGGGCTGTGGCCTGTTGGCAGAGGAAGTGTGGGCAGAGGGCGTGTGGTAAAGAGGGGGAAAAGGGGGGGAAGATGGGGGGGTTTGGTGGGAGGGAGGTGGTGAGAGGGAGATGGTGGATGGAGGTGGTGAGAGGAAGGAGGTTGAGGGTGGGAGGCGGAGGGTGGGAAATGGCGACAAGCAGAGTAAAATGGAAAAGACGTGAACCGAGACAGTAGGAAGAGCATGTGGAGGACAAGCACATAAGATGTGTGCAAGAAGAGCATGTGGAGGACATCTTAATGACTTCACCAGTTGAGACATCTTAAAGACTTCACCAGTTGAGACATCTTAAAGACTTCACCAGTTGAAACATCGTAAAGACTTCACCAGTTGAGACATCTTAAAGACTTCACCAGTTGAGACATCTTAAAGACTTCACCAGTTGAGACATCTTAAAGACTTCACCAGTTGAGACATCTTAAAGACTTCACCAGTTGAGACATCTTAAAGACTTCACCAGTTGAGACATCTTAAAGACTTCACCAGTTGAGACATCTTAAAGACTTCACCAGTTGAGACATCTTAAAGACTTCACCAGTTGAGACATCTTAAAGACTTCACCAGTTTAGACATCTTAAAGACTTCACCAGTTGAGACATCTTAAAGACTTCACCAGTTGAGACATCTTAAAGACTTCACCAGTTGAGACATCTTAATGACTTCACCAGTTGAGGCATCTTAAAGACTTCACCAGTTGAGGCATCTTAAAGACTTCACCAGTTGAGACATCTTAAAGACTTCACCAGTTGAGACATCTTAAAGACTTCACCAGTTGAGACATCTTAAAGACTTCACCAGTTGAGACATCTTAAAGACTTCACCAGTTGAGACATCTTAAGGACTTCACCAGTTGAGACATCTTAAAGACTTCACCAGTTGAGACATCTTAAAGACTTCACCAGTTGAGGCATCTTAAAGACTTCACCAGTTGAGGCATCTTAAAGACTTCACCAGTTGAGACATCTTAAAGACTTCACCAGTTGAGACATCTTAAAGACTTCACCAGTTGAGACATCTTAAAGACTTCACCAGTTGAGACATCTTAAAGACTTCACCAGTTGAGACATCTTAAAGACTTCACCAGTTGAGACATCTTAAAGACTTCACCAGTTTAGACATCTTAAAGACTTCACCAGTTGAGACATCTTAAAGACTTCACCAGTTGAGACATCTTAAAGACTTCACCAGTTGAGACATCTTAATGACTTCACCAGTTGAGGCATCTTAAAGACTTCACCAGTTGAGGCATCTTAAAGACTTCACCAGTTGAGACATCTTAAAGACTTCACCAGTTGAGACATCTTAAAGACTTCACCAGTTGAGACATCTTAAAGACTTCACCAGTTGAGACATCTTAAAGACTTCACCAGTTGAGACATCTTAAAGACTTCACCAGTTGAGACATCTTAAAGACTTCACCAGTTGAGACATCTTAAAGACTTCACCAGTTGAGGCATCTTAAAGACTTCACCAGTTGAGGCATCTTAAAGACTTCACCAGTTGAGACATCTTAAAGACTTCACCAGTTGAGACATCTTAAAGACTTCACCAGTTGAGACATCTTAAAGACTTCACCAGTTGAGACATCTTAAAGACTTCACCAGTTGAGACATCTTAAAGACTTCACCAGTTGAGACATCTTAAAGACTTCACCAGTTGAGACATCTTAAAGACTTCACCAGTTGAGACATCTTAAAGACTTCACCAGTTGAGACATCTTAAAGACTTCACCAGTTGAGACATCTTAAAGACTTCACCAGTTGAGACATCTTAATGACTTCACCAGTTGAGACATCTTAAAGACTTCACCAGTTGAGACATCTTAAAGACTTCACCAGTTGAGGCATCTTAAAGACTTCACCAGTTGAGGCATCTTAAAGACTTCACCAGTTGAGGCATCTTAAAGACTTCACCAGTTGAGACATCTTAAAGACTTCACCAGTTGAGGCATCTTAAAGACTTCACCAGTTGAGGCATCTTAAAGACTTCACCAGTTGAGACATCTTAAAGACTTCACCAGTTGAAACATCGTAAAGACTTCACCAGTTGAGACATCTTAAAGACTTCACCAGTTGAGACATCTTAAAGACTTCACCAGTTGAGACATCTTAAAGACTTCACCAGTTGAGACATCTTAAAGACTTCACCAGTTGAGACATCTTAAAGACTTCACCAGTTGAGACATCTTAAAGACTTCACCAGTTGAGACATCTTAAAGACTTCACCAGTTGAAACATCGTAAAGACTTCACCAGTTGAGACATCTTAAAGACTTCACCAGTTGAGACATCTTAAAGACTTCACCAGTTGAGACATCTTAAAGACTTCACCAGTTGAGACATCTTAAAGACTTCACCAGTTGAGGCATCTTAAAGACTTCACCAGTTGAGGCATCTTAAAGACTTCACCAGTTGAGACATCTTCAAGACTTCACAAGTTGAGACATCTTAAAGACTTCACCAGTTGAGACATCTTAAAGACTTCACCAGTTGAGACATCTTAAAGACTTCACCAGTTGAGACATCTTAAAGACTTCACCAGTTGAGACATCTTAAAGACTTCACCAGTTGAGACATCTTAATGACTTCACCAGTTGAGACATCTTAAAGACTTCACCAGTTGAGACATCTTAAAGACTTCACCAGTTGAGGCATCTTAAAGACTTCACCAGTTGAGGCATCTTAAAGACTTCACCAGTTGAGACATCTTAAAGACTTCACCAGTTGAGACATCTTAAAGACTTCACCAGTTGAGACATCTTAAAGACTTCACCAGTTGAGACATCTTAAAGACTTCACCAGTTGAGACATCTTAAAGACTTCACCAGTTGAGACATCTTAATGACTTCACCAGTTGAGACATCTTAAAGACTTCACCAGTTGAGACATCTTAAAGACTTCACCAGTTGAGACATCTTAAAGACTTCACCAGTTGAGACATCTTAAAGACTTCACCAGTTGAGACATCTTGAAGACTTCACCAGTTGAGACATCTTAAAGACTTCACCAGTTGAGACATCTTAAAGACTTCACCAGTTGAGGCATCTTAAAGACTTCACCAGTTGAGGCATCTTAAAGACTTCACGAGTTGAGACATCTTCAAGACTTCACCAGTTGAGGCATATTAAAGACTTCACCAGTTGAGGCATCTTAAGGACTTCACCAGTTGAGACATCTTAAAGACTTCACCAGTTGAGACATCTTAAAGACTTCACCAGTTGAGACATCTTAAAGACTTCACCAGTTCAGACATCTTTAAGACTTCACCAGTTGAGACATCTTAAAG